CAGTAATTGAATTGAGCCACAATGTCGTGTTATTTTGGCTTATACTTGTGAGATATGTTTCACATTGTTTGATTGATCGTCACTCTTGCAATGACAATAACGTAATATGAAAAATGTGATTAAGTAAGCAGTAGAATCTAATATGTTTTCAATTTACATATTTTTCAAATGTTAATATTATTAGAAGGTTGAAAACTATAGCAAAATGCTAGGACTTTATATATATCTTGGATATATACCTACTATAATGTAACTAAATAAATAATTATTTTTAAAAGTAGCATTTGAAATGATTATATTTTAAAAACAATTGATTGTAAACAAAATAATTTTTAAACGATAATAACATGATGCTGATGATGATGTTAGTTAATGCTAGTAAGTTAATTTTAGTTAATTTGACTTAAAAATATGATTATATTCAATTAAAATAAGTATGAAGAAACATAGTTTATGTTTGAAATATTGATTTCCTCTACTTAATAATAGTTATCGGCTGCTCAATAGTTACTATTACTGGACAATATACTTTTACAGTATAACCGTAAAATTAACAAACTGCATTACACGACATAATTCGTCAACAATTTATTTAAAGCTTAAAAGCGGTATTGTTACAATTTTATCAAAAATATACGTCATAGAAATATAATGTAAATATTTAACCTGACCAACTACATGTAAGTCTAGGACCACAATTAGAAGCAACATATAAAATGATAAATTTTATCAAACAAACATATTTATATATATTAATTAAATTCTAGAAATTAAGCACATAAAATATATTATAAAAAACATAGCATTATTATAATTACTAACTAATAACCATTATAGTTGAAGCTTATACATCGATAAAAAACAAATAAAAAAAATTATTAAACCATTCATTCTAAAATTGAATTGTATTTCAGGCAGTCAATACGAGCCGATGCATAAAATGATTTCTGGAAAATGTAAAATAGTTGTTGCTGTTTGCAAATAACAACATAAAAAAATTAATTATTCAAGTAAAAATGATTGTGATGGAAAATAAAATTGGTTTTTTTTTTTTTTGTCGCAAAAGCAAAAATTTCTTTTTTTTAGCAGAAACAAATATTACGTCTGAAAAAATAAATTATTGTATTTAAATAATTTATTTTAACTACTAACAAAATTCAGTAAATCGTAAAAATAAATAATTTGTAGTATAATGAATAAAAAAATAATTTAGAAAAATGCATATGAATCCTATTTAAGTACTGTTTAATTAGCAAAATGAATATGTTGGGTAAATTACTCTAGGTGATTAATAACACGAACGCTAATGATTATGTAAATTACCCATTGTTAAATTCACTTTATTGCACGTCAGAGTTCAAACACTTAGGCATGTCTGGAAGTATTATTACCAGTATGAATTCATTTAAGAGATTTTGTAATAATAACGATGTTTTTCAAGATTTACCACACACAATAATGTCATAATTTCAAAATGTTATTTTATTATCCATTCATACTGTATAGAAATAAACTTTCCACTTGTGATACAGGCAATTTTTATAAAAGATTCATAAAACACGAATAGTACCATAATATTGGTGTATTAACTTTCTATTCTCATTGATTTTTTATAGAACTTAATAAGTCTTATCCACGCCGTTATGATAATTTAATAAAAATGTAATACATTTTCATAATAGGAATAATAACAAAAATAATATTATACAATAAAGATAAATCATATTGAATAATTAAATCTTATTTTTTATTCTATTATCAATTTTTTCTTTTATTGCTGAAAAGTTTATTGCGTGTTTCTTGTTAACTAATTTCTATAGAATTTACTTAAAAATAAAAATATTTTTATACTCATTTCACTTCAAAAATATTAAAAATATGTGTATATATTTAAAAATTATTAAAGAATCTTCAATGAAGATATATGAAAATAAACTAAATTTTTATAATTTTAAATTTTTTCAAATCTAACAATTTTTATTCTAAGGCATTCATTTGAGTAAAACTAGTTACGCACACATACATTCCTGTTAGATTGTAATCTTTAATGACATATGAGATGTTTTATATCTAGTGCAATGTGTGTACCTACTCAAGTCCAATTTTTATTTTTGTGTACCGGATGAAAAATTATAAAACTATTTAATTTGTTTAAAATTCTTTCTGTAAACTATTTATTTATAATACATTCAATATTTAGTTTTAACTTAAAAAAAAATTTAGTTGATTTTCATGGTTTTTTAATTGTGAAATTGTATCATTCAATAATTTATACAATTTTTTTCTTTTTGTAATTAAACTCAATTTATTTTCTTCAATTAGTTATAAATATGTATAAGAATCTCTATAATAAATGTTCAAGACTTTTTGTCAAACCAAAATTAATTTATTGACATTTTCAAACAAAGCTAAGAAAATAATCTTAATTGCTTATTATCAAAAGAGAATGTTTCAATTTCCTAAAAATATCTAATTTTTTTTTTTTATAGAATATCGTGATGTTAACACTCAGTGAAAATTTTTAGTATGTACAATTATTATTTCAGTTACGATGAAAATTAAAATTGTATTCGACCGAAAATCTATAATTTCGTTTATAAATATAAATTATTAAAAATATCTATTATATATATATTATAAGTATATAAAATATATATTGCAATTATTAAAAAAAACTGAAAGTCCTAAAATGACTTCCTTTAAAGTACCAACTACAACCCATTTCCTTTTTTTCATTGGTTATATCGTGATGATTGTATCAATTATTCTGGTCGAAATAGTGCACATATGATAGACACAACAAAAAAATCACGCATGTTAAAACCAATATATAACTCGTTTCACTCAGAATCTGAAAAAAAATAGTATATTTTTATAAAATATCATTACGTTCGGTATAACAAATATATTAATATAATCATTAGATTCTAATGAAGAAGAAAATAATTAAATGAGGACAAAATAAATTAAACAACTAAGCAATGAATACAGTTGAACAACAGTGAAAAGAAAGAAAAAAGTTGACCCGTTGTGAGTACAGTTTACAACATTTGTGAACAATTAATAGCTAAATAAAATCAAAAGATTGACAGTGAAATATTACTGGTTTATCACAGTATATAATGAAAAAAGTTAGGGAGAAGAATGAGAATTTATATACAGCATAATGTAATCCAATGAAAAATAACTTGCTCAAATAAATTATGTGTTTATGGTCACTTGAAAGCCTAAGAATTAGTATATTTAAAAATAATTCATAGATGGTTGGAAAACATATAAAATAAATTATAATTTTCACTGGATTGAAAGCATAAAAAAAATTATGATAAAATAATCAAATAATATTATACTACAATACTAAATTATAGATTTTTTGGGTAAAATGTTAAAGAAACTAAATCATTTTTAACATTTTATACGTTATGTTTTGAATTAAGTATTATTCCGTACTGAATCATATTAACTACAATTTATTAAAACTATTAATAGTATTAAAATGTAAACCAAAAAAATGAAAAACATTAAAATAAGAAATTGTATCTGGAAAAATGATATATGTACTTCTGTCCTTCAGAATTATTTTTAATTCCTACTTTGCATTTTTGAAACTTGTATAATGTATCCCCGAATGGTAATTTGTATCAGAGTACCTTGATCATTAATCAGAACTATTGTAAATACTTGTAAAGTCAACAGTGGCCAATATGATTAAATCCTCAACTAATTTCAAGGTAAAAAAGGTTATAAAATAATTTACCTTCGCCCAGAGGATCGTATCATACCTGACATTATTGGACCCTTTCCTCTTTATGAAAATACATTCCTGCATTTTAAACGGGTCCTTTTAAAGGGTTCAGTAGGGAATAGCCTCACGTACAGAATAGCTGTTTTGCTGATAACATTTACACACACAAACATTTCATTAGTACTGGTGAGAATAATAAAAAAATTGCATAAATTAAATTGAATTTACCATTAATTTTTTTTATTAGTACTCAAGTAAATAAACTATACAAATATATTTGAAAAAAAAAATAAATACGTTTTGAATATTAATTGTCATCGCTAATTTTCATCAGAAATTAAATAACGTTAACACAAATTTAATAGAATACATATATTATATTATTCCTAAAAAACTATGCCTAATTTATTACTAAAGATGAAGATGACTATCAGGTTTCTAAGGCTTACTAAATAAAAATTATTTTGTTATAAAATGTATTATCACACTGGTGTTTTATTAAAGTTTTTTATTACTATACTATGTCTTTTTTTTTTTTTTTTTTTATAAATGTTGAAAATATTTTATGCACACACAAACATGTATATATATATATAATGATCATATTAATAATACATAAAACTAAAAGAAACTAACTCTTTCCTATTTTTTAAAAATTTAAAAGATTATTGATTACAAATACAAACACATTTAATAAGTAGTTGATCGAGAAGAAAAAAAAAACATCTTACAATTAGGCAATTAATGGAAACAAAAAAGAGAAAATACAACTTTTGATAACTAATTAATAATAAGTAATTATTCATGATCGATAAATATAATGTTGGTAAACAGATCGTCAAAATATTAAATACAAGCAAAAACAATAAGATCAATGCCTGTAATGGGGTGGCGAGGAAGTTCGTTGCATCTATACCCTTCAAATAAATTATTATTGGGTTATTTTTTGGTTCCGGTCATCGCTTTCGATATTTACACACAAATCAATATATTATTTAAAGCTGAAGGCTCATAATGACGCATTGGTTTAACACACAGCTCGGTATTGCTAGCTCTCAAACGTATGACCGTACGAGCTCTTAACGATGAATCCATGTCCTCGAAACACGTATTCCAAATGCGTTACTCTGCTGTGCAAGCACGTCGTCACCACTGCCCAGTCCAAATAGTCGATATTATTGACTCGATAGTCGAAGAAAAAAAATTATATTTCCATCCAAATGGATATCTAACGGTAGTATTATTTTTTTTTCAGAACGTGTTCAGCCCGTGGAATGCCGCGCAAAATCAACGTGGGCCTCGTCACGCTGGCTGCACTCGCGACGGCCACATTAGCCGACCCGACCATGGACCGGCGGGCCAGTATGGGGTTCATGGGAATGCGGGGCAAGAAGGATGATCAAAGTGGCGGCGGTGGCAGTGACGAGGCGTCCTCCGCGGCTGCGATTGATCTGGACAAGCGGACGCTGGTGTTTCGGCAACCACTGTTCGGTGGCGACAGGACCGCGTTAGGCGGTGGCGGCTCAGCGGAAGGGTTCAAGCGTGCCATGGGGTTCATGGGCATGCGTGGCAAGAAAGAGTATTACAAGGGCTCGGCAGCCGCAGGGTTCTTCGGGATGCGGGGTAAGAAAGTGCCGTCCGCGGACGCATTCTTCGGCGTACGCGGAAAAAAATGGCCGGGCTCTGTACCGCAGCCATTGCCGTCCCGGGACGACGGCGCTGACGACGTAGACGTTGAACGGGCCGTGTTTGTGCTGCACAGGATCATCGACAACTTAAGGTCGGATCAAGGTGAGCGCGTCGAATCGTCCTAGTTCGCGTCACTGCTCTGGTTCCCTCGATACTATGACGAGGGGGCAGGGAATTTTATATCCTGTGCGTATATCATAGTTGATTACCGTTCTTGATAACATGCAATAAGGTACTTTTATAATAGCTCATATTGACCGTGTTTTCCATGTTCAGTTAGACCTAACACCTATATATATTATAGTAAACAGGGCTTTAATGTAGAATGATTTGAATATTATAATTTATTGAATTAATATTTTAATCTTCATCGGTGGTTAAGTTAGTTATTAGTTAATATTCATGGTTAAGTTAGGTTGTTAATTCATTCATGCAAGGTGTAACTGAAATACTATTCATATCCATCCATGTATGTATATATATATATACATATATAAATTATAAGTTGGGCATTAGTCAAATAAAAATGTATTCGATTAATTATTTAAATCTAAAATTATTTGTTATTTATTATTTAATTATTCATTATTCAATTATTTGTAATAACAAATCATCATTCCATATGATTATCTCAAATCATTCGTAAATAACTTGAAATTCCAACTTTACTGAAAATTGAATTGTATCAGTATTTAATTATAATTAAATATTATAATGATATAATATAATATAATATAATAATAATAATATAATAATATAATATAATATTATAATCATAATTATCAGCTATCGAAAATGTCTGAAAAAAGTCATAAATTATATTTTTATAGAAAAGGGGCTAATTTAACTGGTAGATACTTTTAAGTATCGCTACTGGTAAGTACTCGCTATCGACATTTTATGAACTCACACATTGGGCTTTATTGATTTGTGAGTATTTTTTACAATTTATTTTATTTATTTATTTATAAATTAAGCTATTCAGATTTACTTATTATTATTTTTTTTTTTTTTTTTAATTATAGCCAACAATATTTAAAATAAAATATTATTTTTTTATTCACAAAATAATCAGTTATTTGTACGTTTATTATTTATTCATCATTTAGATTGGTTATTCCCCAACTGAGTGTGTAAAACTCATGAGTTTCATAGAAATTTTGTGGTCTTTTAGTTTTAGCACTATTACACAATGTCAACTTTAGAACTCGAGTTATACAAAAAATATTCCGATATCTTTGATTCACATATTTTGTAGTACATATTGCTTAAAAAAAAAATAATATAGGAAATCTGTTAAATATATTCATTTTTATATTAATTCAATAACTATAATTTTTTTTGTAATATACTTTATTTCAGAGCGAAGCTTCGTGGCAACTAAATTCAACGAAGAACAAGAAATGCGTTAAATTTTTTTTTTTTTAGAATACTCCGTAGCACAAAATCAATACTATGAGTTTTACCATTTAATATTGTTTAACATGATTTATTTAGTAGTTTATATATTATATATGAAGTTAAAATAAACATTTTATTGATTGTATAAAGAATCTACGTAATTAATAATTTTTTGTCAATATCTTATATAATACAATTTTATTATAAAATTAGATTATTATATAATAATAATATAAAAACCTCATTTCACATTCTGTTACATTCATATTTGGAATTTAAAATAAAACTAAGTATGAATTTATTGTATTCGAAATAAAGTCATTGATGCTACAGTTCCACCCACTCGAAAAACCATTAATCTTTCTCAACATATTTCATTTCCCTCGGTGTTTTATGCATGAATATTAAACACGAAATATTAATAAATATATTTTAACATAAAAGCATGGTCATCAATAATAAGAATTAAATTCAGAAGGAAAAAATAATAACTCATTAAGAAAAAAGATAAATAAGTATATAAATTAAAGCAATTGCAATGGTTCGTTTTTAGTTATGTATGTTGAATCAAAAATATATTTGCTTGGAGAATTAAAAGAAATTATATGAATTATTTATTACTAAATATAAAATTATTAATAAGCTTAACATATTACAAATTTTCAAATAATTATCTGTCAAGGAAGTTTAAAATATTCTTTATTTGTGTTATTATTCCGGGGGGGAGGGGTGTTTACTATATTAAAAGTTCATCATAATAAATGCGGAAATATAATTCAATTTATGATTACGTTGTGTTAGGACTTGTGAAAAATAGGAAGGCCTGTTATACATAATATAATATATCTGTAGATATTCTAATTATTTATCATCTAATTATAGATCCTTGGAATATAATTATTTCTATAGTCACAACATACAATAATGATTTTTATTTTAACACCAAGCATAACGATACTTAAAAATAAAAACAATATTGTGTAAAGCAAATAAAAGTTACAACAGAAATAAATATGATAATATGTGAAGTATGTACCTGTTGGTATACTTGTGTAAAAAGTTAAAAAACTTTTTTCTGTAAAAATAAAAATAATGAGCGGAAGCGTAATTGTACAAAACGTTGAAAATTACATCGTAACTCGAAGGTAGTTTCATTGTATTAAATTGTATGTAATTTTAAAAATTAAACTCCTAATATTTGTGAGCCTTGAATTTTAATAATCGTGTTGATATTTATTTTCCGAAGAAAAACAAATTTCATTTGTTCATATTGAATAAAATATTAGATTCAGTCTTTGAGCAATTTTAGACATGACGTTGTACATTAAATATGTAATTAATTAAAATTTACTTTATACATTTTATCATAATTTTTCAATTGAAAGTATCTTTTTTATTAGGAACATGTAAGTACTTTGATAGACAATATTTACATATTTATGTATGTTTCCAGTTTATTGATTTATCTTGTAGAGTTTTTATTATTGATGAAGATTTTACAAATTATATCGTATAGTATACATTTGTATAGCAAATATGTATCATTCGGTAGCCGCTGCAACAGGTTGTTCTCAGCACTCCGTTCACATCAAAGGTTCGTGTTTCTTATTAAAAAATCTTATTCAATGAATTCCAATAAAAATAATGGTTCTCCTCAAGAACGCAAACTTCCAGACATTTAAAAATAATAATAATAATAATACAAGAACCAGTAGTGATGCTCTCCTCCTCATACAACTAAAAATAGATTCGTTCCACTACTAACTATTCAAGTCAATGACGAAACGGACGGAACTACAAAAAATACTCAAAAATAATCATTAGAAACCTCCTTGTAGGTATATCAAAAACTTGTATTTATAAAGAACTCGTAGAACTGAAATACGAAGTATTCACACGTTTTAAAAATAAATTTAAACCCCCTATTCTTATCGTAGTGGTGTTGCTATCCAAATCGTCTACTAAAATTTACTCTCTAAACAGACTCTTACATTGTATAGTAACGGTTGAACCAAGTCAACCTTCCAAGGACATTCCTCAATGTACTAATTACCAACGATTTTCGCATACAAAAAAAGTTCTGTCATTTACCTCCTATTCAGTTCTTGTCCAAAAGAAATAGAAACTCAACCAAAATATGTAAACTGTCTTAGTGACCACCCAGCGAGCTACAGAGGTTATACTTTCTACAAAGAAATTTAAAAAAGACAACAATAATAACAAAAATAACGCTACTCAACTTCGAAACTAACGAACTGGAAGTTAGCAACAATTATACTTATTAAAAAGTTGGTAAGGACAAATTAAATACTGATAAATAGTCAGACCGATAAGTCTACTTACCTCCCTATCAAACATTTTGGAAAAAGTTGTATATACGAGACCACAAAGTAAATTCAATTTGGACTTAGATCAAACCACTCGACCGTACAATAGCTTTTTCGTATAATGGAACATATCAGTACGTCCTTTGAAAAACATTGCCATACTATTGCTGTATTTATAGACGTCTCAGAAGCGTTTGACAAAGTATGGCACGAAGATATTTTATACAAACTAAAATATTTCAATACGCCGAAGTAGTTATTTAATATTGTTAAGTTCTTTCTAACAAATAGACAATTCTCAGTTAACCTAAATTTGATTTAATTAAAATTTTCTTCAGTTACTGAAAACACATGTTTAAAAATTGTTAAATATTTGTCTTTAGTATATAATATAAGCAACAGATCAAAAAAGTTATGTGAGTTTTTTCAATACGAAAAATAAATTGTTATTTATAATGCATAATGATTTCAAATCGTAGGTATAACAGGGTTTGTTTAACATGAAACACATAACTGCATCAAATAAGTTGATATATCATATAACTTAACAATAGACGATGATTGATTCATAATGTAATCGTAATCAACTGGGTAACACGAAACACATATGTATGTGTATTACTAAACAAATATCAGTCAAATGTAATCCATCCGAAATATTTAGTTAGTAACAATAATTCCATAACCAGTCTATATCCGGCGGTAAATATAAACATTGTTGAACTAAAATAAAAAGTAAGCTTTTGTGTCGATGAAAAATAAGTGCTGATTTATATTATCGTAGTAATAATCTACGACCATTTGTTATGCTCATTCACGCCATTGGTTGATAGATTTTCAGCACACAATGTTTTCAAACATATCAATTGCAGGAGTGCCTGTGAATATATATATTAATAATCTGTCCGCGCTTAACGTACCGCAGTATAAATATTAACCGCAAACATTTATAATTTTTTATTAAAAATTGAAACCGAAACATATAGTTAATATGTTATCCATCTAGTATTGATTATGAAAGGCAGTTGAATTATTTCCAGGGTACGAATATTGACGATTTTCCAACAAAATCAAGAAGTTATACAAAGCTATAAACATGCGACCACATTGCATACTTTCTAGTAAGATTAAATACAGCCAAAAAAGTTCTAAAGATTCTTAGGGCCTGGGGTAAATTATTTGGGCGCTCCTCAATCATCACAATAATACACAAGTGTGATAAAAAAAAATACACACCAAGTTTGCAAAATGTTGGTAAATATAGTTCTCCAAACCTCAACCAATGAGGTAATTTAAATGCATCGTTACGATGAATTACATTTTTAGTAACTTCTCAAAAATACATTACCGATTATCGTATTTAATTAAAATTAAATTTATTCCGAGATAATTTATGAACAGGCATAGAAAATAAGAACTTAGATTTTGTCGTGTCGATATTTGAAAAAACGAATTTCTACGTAGATTTGGAAAAAACTATGTCATTCTTCACACTTCGGTAATAACCATAATAAATTATAGTTATAAATATTTAAAATTAGAATAATTGAAAAAGTAGCCTATATAATAGCCTTCAAATAAAAATGTAAGTTAATTTTGTTAATATTTCATAAATAAAAATACTTTAAAAATAATATATTAATATTAATAATATTTAATAACACAGAGTATTTCTAAACAATCTAGACTTCAAAGGGGCTAATTTTAAATTTTAGTTCGTCTTGGGGCAAAGTGTTCTCATTTTCTCTCCCTGACGACGGCTCTGAATGCAACGTGTACGTTCAATATTTATATGCAAGCAACCGATTAGAGTATCTTATAGTATTATAGCGTAAATTTCTTTAAATTAAAAAACCATGATAATGATGTGATAGAAAAAAATACAAAAATAAATCGAAACACGAGAAGTTGAGAGGAAGGAGAATTCGTAAGTTACAATTAACTCCATCGTTTTAGAAGATGCGTTATTTTTAAACTATGGTTAACGTTTTTATGCTGAGTTCTTCGACGGCTTATTCATCATCAAACAAATCGATGATATTCATTAAGCGTATAAACGGCTATTTAAACATTTTATGTTCTACAAACAATTTTTGTTTTGTCTTTATGTTTTATAGAATCGGTTACATGGACTCCAAACTCATCTGACTCGAGTTGCGTTCCAAATAACGAACAAAACGGATAGAAAACGATTTAATTCTCAAAACGCTCTAGAAGAAATAGTTATTTTTTAAAATTCATCATATTTGAACTTACCATTTATTATCAGTGAATTAGTATTTTAATTTTTATTTTTTTAAGTATTTGGACTTAACAGTTCAGAAAAACAGGTAGTACGTCTTTTTACCATTGAATTAAATAAAATCATTCAATCAATTATTCTGTTCATACAAATTATTATTTATTATTTTAGTTGAATTATATGTAAGCATGCTTATAAGCATATAATCTTATCGATTTACTCCCATAGTATGTGAATTTTTCACTCTTTCATTTAGATACAGTCTCCATAAAAAATAAAAAATAAAAACATCCCATTTTTTACTTTTTCAAGTTTTAAGTCACGTTATTTTATTGACCTTATATAAATAAATCACTATGATTGAGGTTGGTAGTATGATTATATCGAATAAATGTATAAAAAAGTTGTTTGAAAATAATACTACGTGTTTAAAATTTTAACTTTCCATCATTATTATGTTTGTAGCCTTCTCTGTCAGATGCAAATGGAAGATATCA